TGTGCTGACCTGACTCAACAGTGCACACATTAGTGGAATACAATTGTGGGCTTAGGGGTGATTCCAGTTAGCCACTGAGCATGAGGTATCTTCTAATTCCTCTGTTGTTTTGATGGAAAACTGAGTGAACATGAAGCAATGACAAAATGAAGCAGTGAGATCATGAGTCGCCTGTCCACCTAGAATAATTGCCAGTATTTTGTTTTTATCATAACAAACAGAACTAGACAAACCTTTTAAACCATAGTAAACAATATAATTCCAGATACAACACGGTACTGGCCAAGAGTCTTCAATAATTAAAAGCTGCTTTATGAAGGTGAAATTCATTTATGCTGCATCCATCCCTCCACCAGAGTAAAAAGTGTTATGCATTACTTCTTAAAACAAAATAATCTGAGACTACACTTGTCCACCTAGATAATACCCTAGAAGGCATTTTGCCTACCTAATCCCATTTGACACGGGATAAAACTGGAGACCAAATAGATGAACTGAGCTAAAGGGAAACACAGGCAGTGACCATGTGAGTAAATTTGGATAGACCAGAGGTCATATGACTCCCTCTCTTTTCTCCTTCCACACTGGACAGAGTTCATGGCCCTCCTGTCTTCCTTTCTAGTATCTTCTAACCCTGTCCTCATTTCAAAAGACTAACCTATCACCTGTTCTCAAAGGCTTTGAGATTTTTCAGTGAACTATTACATTTAGAAAATAATTTTTTTTTTAAAGTTTTTGGAGACAGGGTTTCTGTGTAGCTTTGGAGCCTGTCCTGGAACTAGCTTTTGTAGACCAGGCTGGTCTTGAACTCACAGAGATCCTCCTGCCTCTGTCTCCTGAGTGTTACCAGGCTTAGAAAATAATTTTTTAAAGATTTATTTATTTATTATTTATACAGTGTTCTGTCTGCATGTGTGTCTACAGGCCAGAAGAGGGTACCAGATCTCATCAGGAGATGGTTGTGAGCCACCATGTGGTCACTGGGAATTAAACTCAGGACTGTTGAAGAGCAGACAGTGCTCTTAACCACTGAGTCATCTCTCCAGCTTCTAGAAAATAATTTTTAACCTGGGTGTAGTAGCATATGTCTTTAACCCTTGTACTCAGGAGGCAGAGACAGGTGGATCTTTAAGAGTTCAAGACCAGCCTGGTCTACATGGTGAGTTCCAGGCCAGCCAGGGCTACACAGTGAAACTTTGTCTCAAAAAAAAGTCAAGAAAAAAAAATTTTTTTTTAATTAGTATGTGGTCTTAAGCCAAAATGCAGCCATGGAGTACAAAGTACACATCACTTATTGAGCAGTCCCTGCTCAATTAGCTTGGGAAACTCACGGATAAACAAAGGTTCCATCTCTGCTAGAGAGTTCCAGGCCTTCCTTGCTGTGTATCTTGTGAGTCTTCAAACGTGCTTATTTTAATTTTGCTTAATTATGACTTCTCTTTTGTTTCTAAACAAAGTATATTTTGCAGAAACCATCATGAAATGACCAGTTTGAGATACCTATGTCATAAGCTAATTCCAGAAACAGAGATGTTTTTATGGTGATGAATGGAATCACCATATATATTAGAATATAAAACTGTTTTCTCATCAAATCAGAAGGGATTCGAGAGTTTGTTCCTTATAATTGTTTTTGAGAAGACACAAAGATGTGGGGGAATTAAATCTTAAGATGTCCTTCTATGCTCTATAAAATGAGCAAAGAGGCCAGGAGACAGGTGGATGCTACCAGTTGCCACTCCCATTACCTTACATCAGTACCAGCTTCCTTGTGGTGATTGATGTAGTATTCACTGGGCACTTGATGCATCCTAGGCTGGGCTGTGTCTTTCATGTTATTTACAACAGCCCTCTAAGATAAAGACTACTACAATGTATACCCGGGTCAGGCTTGTTTCCAGGTCTTTGCTGTTGACCTTACTATGACACACTTCCCTTAACATACCTCAGTCACCTACATTCCAATAATCCAAACATGAGCTGTGCTTTCCCCTTCATTCTACAATCCTAGAGAGCTTCATGCCTGAAGCCAGAGTTCTGCCTGAATTTCAAAGCCATGTCCATCTCCTTTGTTAAATGAGAGGGAGCAGATGCTGCCTGCTTAAACTTTTAGTTAAATCATGATTTCCTATTAGGACAGTGCTCCCAGACTTGCCCCAAGCCCATTGCCGCCATCCCTTACCACTGGCCACTTTGGCAGAGCACTGCTGAGCTATGTGATTTTGAATGGGAAGTATTCTAAATAAGAATGAAGCAGAGAGTCAGACATCGAGGTCAGCGTCTCGATCAGTGACTGACCTCTAAGCATTTTAAAACACAACCTAATTTGAAACTCCTTTATGCTACCTAGTCCCAAATAAAGGCAGACCGTATCCCTTATCCCCCAACAGGTGTGACAGTGGGAACTTGAAACATTGATCTAGCATTTAGTCAGTAGACAAACAGGAATAAAATACATCAGAAGGTGCTAAGCCACAAACATGTTCGTTACAATGGAGATGGGAGAGTAGAGGGTTGTGGAAGCTGATGGTCTTATTCTCACGGGGAGGGGCTCCCAGAGGATGTGCTGCTCTCCATCCATCTTGAGCTAATGTTTACTTTGGTCTGTTTTCGCTTCCTCTCCTCTCCCACTTCCTACTAAACATGTCACATTGACTCCCATTGTGTCAACATTTAAGGGCCTCATTTAGCAGCTACATTGTGTCCACTTCCTGGTGTTACTGAATATGTCACTGTGTTCACTTTCAAAGTAAGTTTGAATTAAACAGTTATTAAACTAAGATGATGCCTGAGTTACCCTCATCCGTATTCCTCTTCCCACAGTCAGTCTCCACACTTCAAATCGAACTATGAGAAACTCAGGCTGCTCAGTGTGGAACCCTGGCTGCTAAGTGCAGTCTTACTCCTGTCTCTCCTTCGGTTACTCCATGAAAAGATGGCAAAGAATGTACTGATCCCACCCACACACCCCACATCAAATCTGTCTTTGGATAAATTCTGGAGTCCCCATTTTCTCCTGCGGTTGACAATTTCCACCCATTTTTTGGGATTTTTACTTAAGTCAGATACTGGATATTCTGAATTGACTTTTACTCAGCTTGCTTAATTGTGCCTTGTTGTTGTTTGTGTTTTCATGGAAAGGAAGCTTCAATTTTTATCTTCTAAGTTTTCCGCAGAGTTTCTCACCTAGCTATAATTATAATTTCTAACATATATCTTTTCTAGTTTCTTAGTTTAGAACCCCACAACCATATCACATTCTTTTGTCTATAAGAAGGTTGAGATTTTAGCTCCTTTTGAGTCTTATTCCTTCTCTTTGCATCTTCTCTATAAAAGCATGAACCTATGGGCAGTACTGTATTCCTTATTGCTTGAGGTCTCTTGAATGCCAAAAACTTTCAAGTATACCACAGAGAGTGGGATGAAGGCTCCAGCCCTCCCTCCTCTGTATTCAAATGCACTGCTGTGTGTCCTTGCATTTCCTCCTAGTAAACAGACAGAACCCATTTCCTAAATGTCTGAACCAGGGAGACATTTTATAACTCAGTTCTTTTGGTGCAACTCAACAAACATAGCAGCATGCTGATTCTAAGCTTAGGCAGCAAGAAACCTTGTAAGACTACTTACTCCCTTTTACCTTTGTCATTCCCATTCATTTAGCCTGCTGGACAATTCTGTCCCTCTCATTTCAACTGAGTTCTTCTTAGACTATGTGAAACCTGAAAACCCCTAAAACCCAAGAGCAATTCTAGTCAAGGTCAAACACAACTACTTTGCAGACCACCCTAGGCAAAAGAGCAATTTTGTCATCTTAAGTAAGTCCCTTACATTTGTGGTTGTTTGTTACACAGCAGTATTGTTGCTATTATGACTGATACAGAGGTTGTCAGTAGCCAGTTGTAGAGGATCTTATATAAACTATCAAGGTACTTAAATTTCATGATTGTGGGAAAAGAATACAACATGATTTGCATTTTGAAAACAGTAACTCTGGCTATAATGTGTAGGCTAAATTGAAAGTAGAGTACAGTTTGGGCTTCTTTTAATACATATACTGTGTAGGAAATCACAATACATGAAAGTAAATAGAGCCAAGAGTTTATATAGGATCAGCCACAAGGAGGGTGTATTTTGAGAAGAGAGTCACAGACAGAACATTAAGAGATAATGATGTAGAAGGTACTCCAGAGGATGAAGATAGAGCAAAGTGGGCCAGGCCTGGTGAAGCACGCCTGTAACCCCAGCTCATGAAGCTGAGGCAAGGATCAAGAGTTCAAGACTAGCCTTGCTATAAACAATTTTGGAGGCAGATTATTATTTGGAGGGACCCTGTCTCAAACAAATAAGAGACAACAAACGAATCAACAAAGCAAGGGGAAGAAGAGGACAAGGAGAATCAGAAACCAGAAAGCCAAGGGGACATTTCAAAGAGAAGGACCAAAGGTATCCATTTGGTCTGAGCTGTCATTAGCATGTCTGTCTACCAAAATTTTAAAGCCAAAGAGGCATCCAAAGATCAAGAACTCAACATTGTAGTGACAACTGCAAAGTTATTTTTCTAAGTGATTTTACATGAGGTGCCCCTGGGAATCTGACAGTAAAGCATAACTTTAGAACACTTCCTAATACATTTAAAATAATAATTTCAAACAAAATCATAGAATGACTTCAAAGTCTAGTGACAATTGAGAGAAAAGACGGGGGAAGTATCTTTGGCTTCCATAATCAGCTCTTGTCTTCTTTTGTCAGGTGGCTTCCTCTTTGAACACTGGAACAGATGCTCTGAAAACATAAAGGCCATCTCTCTCTAGCACAGAGCTCTATGGATATCTGATTGTTTATGACTTTTCAGTCTCATTAAATGCTTTTAAAACAACCCAAGGAGCATCCAGGCCAAATGCACAGGGCCTTCCAGAAGCCTGTGTTTTGATCTTCTGATACAGGCCCTGCTTTAATCTTGCCCTTCAGCAGGACAGAGGTTTTTTTTTTTTTTTTTCCTTTTCGTTTTAGAATGCTTTATGTATTTGAGTGTCATCCTTGCGCAGGGGCCATGCTAATCTTCTCTATATCCAATTTTTAGTACATGTGCTGCTGAAGCAAGCACAAGCAGGACAGAGATTAAGCATAGTTAAACCAGTCTGCTGTGTTAAGGTTGAAAATTTTACTTACTTAACGGAAATACATTACTGAAAGAACTTATTTTACAAGCTCCCCCTTGTAAAGGAGTCTGAAATCAGTGCTCCCAGAATCCAAAGTAATGGATGCTACTATTTAGATCATTAGTACAAGTTGTGCAGTTTTTACCAACACAATAAACCCCAAGCGACTGTGGGCCTGCCTTGAGTGTAATTGGCTAATCATTAAAGGTAGCACATAGTTCTCAGGCTTTGAGAGACCTTCCTGGAGGAGGAAGAAATGGAAGCTATGCTAAAAGGAGGATGTTAGAACCATCTCAAGCCTTATTCTAGGCAAAACTCCATCTAGGTAGGCATCAGCAGCTTCCCAGCTAGTAATGAGAGGTGTTTGCTTAGTTTCACAAGAGAATTAGAACTTCCTTGGCTAGGGTGAGTCGAGAGTGTGTCTCATGCCTTCCATCATCTAAGTCAGTGGTTCCCAAACTTCCTAATGCTGCAACCCTTTAATACAGTTCCTCATATTGGGGTGACCACCAACCATAAAATCATTACTACTTCATAACTGTAACCTTGCTACTATTATGAATCATAATGTAAATATCTGTATTTTCTGTGAAAGGTCTATTGGACCCCTAAAGGAGTCGCAACCCCCAAGCTCTAAGTGCTAGAAGAACCCTGACATGAATATGAGGAACTCACAAACAGCCGCTCCACACCCCCAGCAGGTTCATGCCACGTTGTGGGACTTGTCCATAGATGTAAATGCTACCTACTCTCACAAGGACAAACTCACTCATCACTAAGCTACAGTCCTAAACACATTTCCTGTGTGAAATATCTCCAGAGGGAACTCTTGAGCCTTAGGGTCAGGTGAAAGGAGATTCTATCTTAAGTTTTCTCACATATTTCTCCTGCACACATCCTTAAAGATACTGAAAGATAAGAATGGGAGTGTTTTAAGTAATGTTCTTGTCTATTGCTACAGCCCAAGTCCAGCTAATCCAGAAGGGAACAGTGGAAATCTCATGGGTACCAGAACTGAGTGTCCCCAGAGAATACTTCCTTAGGAACAGCCAACTGCAGATTTTAAAAACTTGTGTTTGTCAACTTCTCACTACTGTGAAAAATACCTAAGATAAACCATCTTTGTTGTAATTTTTAAAAAGCAGCACATGGGAGAAAGATGCCAGGTAACAGGGCTTAAATGGAGGGGTTTGTTGTTAGGGAAAGGGATCATGAAAAGGGAAAAAGGCAGCAGGGAGACCAGCCTCCAGAGACAGGAGCAGTGGAGAGAAGAAAGAGAGGCAGAGAGAGAGAGAGAGAGAGAGAGAGAGAGAGAGAGAGAGAGAGAGACATACAGAGACAGAGACAGAGAGAGACAGACAGAGGGAGAGAAAGAAAGGATGGGAGGTGGGCAGAGCCCTTTTAAAAGGGAATGTAGTGAATGAGCACAGGTGGTGCTCTTAGTGGCTGCAGCTGAGGGCCTACCCTGTCAGAACCCCAAGGACAGGCCAGTACAGATGCCTGAGTACTGACAGTCTTAATACAAGAAACATTTATCTCAGCTGAGTTTCATTCTGTGGCTGTTGGTCCTATCACTTTGGGCCTCCGGATGTAAATCACTACAGAAGTTCATGGCTGAAGATGCTCACCGCATGGTAGCCAGCAAGCATGAAGAGGAAGTAATGCCAGTGCTACAGATATTAATAAGAAATAATGAGAAGACAAAATACATTTGGTAACTTGAGAAAACTGACAACCGGGTAGGTACATGGGTAATTTTGTGTCCTGATGCTTGGGTGGTGAGGCAACACGCAAGAGACCTGGCTTGTGTTCTGTTGAACCATCACAACGTGTGGATGATCAAATCTGTGTTTCATTTGTTTTAAGCAAGACATTGTACTTGCTTCCCTGCACTGAACCTCTGTTCAGCCTGTCCTTCTAGCCTGTAGTGAACACCTCTCCTTTCAGGCCACTGTTCCAGCACCTGCTCTCCACTTCAGTATCATAGCACTCTGTCTGAAATATAAAGTGCCTGGGAAATGGGCTAAGTCCATCAAAATATAGACACGTGATAAATACATGTGTCTACAACACCATTCTGACACGTTTAATGCATTTCCTATTATCGCCTGCATGTTTCTTCTAATTGTGCACTTTGTTTTCTTTAATTTCTACCTCCTTTAAGCTTGTTTAGTGATTGCAAAGAACAAACTAAGCCCCAGCTTAGCTCCTCTTGGCAAAGACTTTTGGAGTGTGGACAACACCCTACACTTCCCACTGCTTTCCTCCTTCTACACTTCTGCCACTCCACCCCACCCCACCTGCATCCTACTTAACCTGAATGTCCTGTCCTCTGTGCTTCTTTCATGACCCAAAAGCCAAGACAGGATTGTCCCTGCTTTCCCAGAACCTCTGGAATCTTCCAGGTATGCTTTTCCTTTGTAAATATTGTCAATGCAAAATCTCCAGCAAGCCTTTGATCTACTTAGGAAGTCAAAAATCACTCACAGAAAAACAAGAGAGCCATTACGGATAACTACATTGTTCTCATTAAGAGCCCATGAAGAGCTTGGCAAAAAGGAGAAAAGATTTCAGAGAATGGATGCATTTTTGCATCATAGTAACCCTTAGCTCAAAGTTCTGGGCCTCCAACAGATAAAACAGCAAACGATAATTTAAAGAAACAAAGAGAAGAGCTGGAATTTGACAAATGCCTGATGGCTAGAGGAGAGATGGTTGGAGAGAAGGGGAAGGTTCTAAAACATTGAGTGCTAAGCATGAACTGAATTTGAATGTCAGACAGAATCAAGTACGGATCTCGCATAAAATTGTGGTGATTCACACATTCCTTTCTTAAAGCACCTTAATGGGAAGAAAAGAATAAGGAAAACAAAAACAAGAATGAAATAGATTTGGTGAGGATGGAGTGAAGAAAAAGTAAGGTGAAGTTAGAGCATTGTATGCTCTACAGTTCCGCAGTCATTCTATATCTCAGAACTAATGTATCACCCAGATCTCAAATGCTCTGTAATGGGTTGTGTTTTGAAGAAGTGTTTTTAATTAAGTCCAATGCTCTAAGCTTTGATGAGAGGCTGAGAAATCTTAGAGCTTTTATCCCCAATAGCATCTCTCAAACAAATCTGGGATGTATTTCCTATGTAACAGAAAACAATGCATTAGTGGCGCGAACCTTTAAGGGTCCTGTGTTTATCAAGCCATTGCTCTGTGTACCTCGGCTGTAATGAAATAATGACTCCACAGGAACTTAATACACTCTGGGAACGATCCTTGAACATTGTACCCAGGGAACCTAATAATGTAATTTGAAGAAACTGTGTCTGAGGAACAGGAAAACAACCCAATCTGTTATCTCTTATTGAGTCTATTTTCTCATAGAGAATCCTGAGAAAACAAAAGATGTTTTGTTTGAAGTGGTTTTTTTTTTTTTTTTTTTCTTCTCCTTCAAGCTTGAGAGGAGAAAACAAAAATCTCTTTGAAGTATTTACAAATTAAACATCTCTGAAGACTATTTCTTCCTTTATGTTATCCAAAATATTTAGTAATTCTGTAATTAAATAATTATTTACTTGACATTGACATGTGCCTGGGGGTAGGTACTTCGGAAAACACAAAGGAAGTCGAGTGGCCTCAACATCACCTGGGAACAAGAGGATTCAGGCTCCATCTGGCCAGAAGACTTGGGATTTACATTTACATTTCAGCAGAAACCCTGTGCTTAAAGGCTTGAACAATAGTCTTGTTTACACTTTGGAATCGCAAGGTCCTAGCTTTGTTTTTTAATGTTGTTTTGAGATTCTAATTCCAGAAGTTGTTACTTAATGTATGTGGAGTGCACTTGGGAATTGGGGTTTTCCCAAGGAGCTCAGGATTAATTCCACGGAACATGGTACCTGAGAACCACGGCCTGGTTTCATTGAAGCCAGCCCACCCACCTTGCTGTGGCTGCCTAGGGTTTGCATCTGGTGGGGCTGGATTTTGAAGGTTGCATTTCTGACAGCTCCCAGGAAGTGCCAATGTCATTTCCTTTCTCTTGCATCCTCTGCATCGCTTTGCTCCAGCACAAGCAGACACCGTTGAAACCATTTTTTCAGGAGCTAGCTCTTTCTCTCTGGTTCAGCTAATGCAACTGTGTCTTAAGCCCAATTCTCACACTTTTAAAATTGAAAGCACAGACACCATCCATAAGAAAAACTCTCAGAAATAAAATTAATGTTAACTGAAAAGTTTGCTGCCTGTTATGGATTGAACTCCTTTCCCAGGGCACCACTAAAATCCTTACCCTAGAAACTCAGAATGTGGTCTTACCTGAACATAGATGTAACTGCTGATGTAAATAGCCAGGATGACTGACCTCACACCAGGGTAGGATGGGCTTAGTACAATGTGACTGATCTCACAGGAAACAGCACAACCTACAGAGGTAGAGGTAGAGGCTGGAGCAAGGCATCTGCCAACAAGGAAGGTGAGGGGTTGCCTTCAGCCAGAGAAGGCAAGAGACTAGGTTGGATTCTTCCCTGGAGCCTTCAGAGAAAGCATGACCCACTGGTACACTGACTGCAAACCCTGAGCTCTAGATCTATGAGAGAACAAACGTCTTCTGTTAAAGCCCCCCACACACACAGGGAACCCAGTATCCCTGATTTTGTTTAAATAGGCAGGGAGCTATTGGGATAGGTTTGGGTTTTCTGTTTTACATGTAGGACTCGCAGGCTACATACAGCCTGTTTGTAACAACCAAGTTGACTTTGCTGTGCGCCCTCAGATTTAACAATGGCAAATAACAAGGGGAGGAGTTATAAAGAGGAGAAGCAAGTAACCGGAGTTCTGGGAAAACAAAACAGCAACAAAAGCAGGAGGTAGGGGACGCTGGGGGGGGGGGGCAGCATAAATTCCGAGGACAGAGAAGAGGCTACATAAGACAGGTTTTGTTATGAATAAATAATCT